TGGTCTATAGAGGCCCATTCTTGGCCTCCTTCGTGGCAGCCTCTCCAGGCCCAGCCCTTCCCCTTCCTCTTGGTTGCATCAATAGGCCCGACTCCTGCCTTGCAACAAGCAACCTCTGTGCACTAAGCTTCTGCCCAGCTCCCACCTGGCTTCATAGGCCCAAACCTTTCTCCAGCCAGAGCTCTGTAGGCAGGCCAAGTTCATGCCTCGATGGCAGCCTTTCCAGGCCTAGCATTTGCTGCTTTGCATCCTCTCCAGGCCCTGAATTTCCTCCAGCCGGCCTCTCTGGGCCCGGTTCTTCCTCCTGGCGGCCTCTGCAGGCCCAAGTTGCCCTCAAGTCGGCCTCTCCAGTGCCAGCTCCTGCCTCCGGCAGACTCTGCAGGCCTAAGTCGTCTCCAAGTCAGCCTCCCCCAGCCCAGCTCTCGCCTCTCAGTGGCCTCTCCAGGTGCACAACTTCCTCCCCCGTCAGCCTCTCCAGTCCAAGCTTCTCCTGCCTCCCGATGGCCTCTTTAGCCCCAGGCCAGCTCGTGCCTCACGGCGCCCTTCCCAGGCCCTAGTTTTTATTTTGGCAGCCTCTTGAGGCCCAGAACTTGACTTCAAATCGGCCTCTCTGGGCCCAGCCTCCTGCCTCCCGAAGGCCTGAAAACAGGCCCAGCCTCTGCCTCACATTGGACTCTCCCAAACCCAGGCCGCAGCCTCACTGCGGACTCTATAGTCCGAAGCTCCTGCCTTCCGGCTGATTCGACATGCCCCACTCCTGTCTCCGGATGGCCTCCTCAGGCCCAGCTCACCCCACACTACGTCCTTTCTGTGCCCAGTATGTCCACTTTCGTAGGCCTCTCCAGGCCCAGAACCTCCTCAATTCGGCCTCTCTAGACCCGGCTGCAGCCTCCCGGCATCCTCTCCAGGCCCAGCTCTTCCTCCCAGCTGCCTCTACAAGCCCAACTCCTGCCTCACAGTAACCTCTTTGGACTCAGATCCCGCCCAGCTCCTGGCGTCCTTTGTAGACCCAAAACTTCCTCAAGACAAGCTCTCCAGGCCCAGCTCAGGCTTCACGGTGGCCTCTCCAGGAGGCTCAGCTCATGCCCTCTGACGGAGTCTCTAGGCCCCCAAACTTCCTCCAGACGGCCCCTCTAGGCCCACTTGGGCCTCCCGGCAGCCTCTGCAGGCCCCCACATTATCCTGAAGTCAACCTCTCAAGGCCCAGCTCTGGCCTCCCCGTGGCCTCTCCAGTCGCAACACAGGGCCTTAATAGGGCCCCTCCAGGGCCAGCTCCTGCCTCCCGTTGGCCTAGCTTCATGGTAGTTTCCCAGGGCCAAGATCCTGCCTGCCTGCCTCCCGGCAGCCTCGATAGGCCCAGCTCCTCCCGCACTGTGGCCTGTGTCGACCCAACTCATGCCTCTCGCGGCCCTCCCAGAAGTATGTGCTCCTGCCTCCCACTGTCCTCTCTGGGCCGAGGTCCTCCCTCATGCCGGCCCGTTGGGGCCAAGCTAATGTTTCTCATGGCCTCTCCAGGCCCAGCCCCTGCCTGTGGGCGGCCTCTCCAGGCCCAACCTCTACCTCGCAGTGGGCCCTCTCCGGGCCCGCCTGTTGCCTCGCCACATTGCCCTCGGGCCAAGCTCCTGCCATTCAGCGGCTTCTGCCGGCCAAGCTCCTGCCTCCCAGTGGCCTCCGTGGGCCAAGCTCATGCCTCGATGGGGGCCATTCCTGGCCTAGCATTTCCTGCTTTGCATCTTCTACAGGCCCTGCACGTCTTAAAGTCGGCCTCTCTGGGCCCAGCTCTTCCCCCTGGCAGAATCTGCAGGCCCAAGTGGCCCTCAAGTCGGCCTCCCCCGGCCCAGCTCTCTCCTCTCGGCGGCCTCTCCAGGTGCACAACTTCTGTCAGCTTCTCCAGGCCCAGCTCCTCCTCCCTCCCGATGTCCTCTTTAGGCCCAGCCCAGCTCGTTCCTCTAGGCAGCCTTCCCAGGCCCCGCTTTTGACTTTTGGTGGCCTCTTCAGGCCCAGAAGTTGAATTTTAGTTGGCCTCTCCGGGCCCAGCCTCCTGTCTCCTGAAGGCCCGTATACAGGCCCAGCCTCTACCTCACAGTGGACTCTCCCACACCCGGGCCACAGCCTCACTACGGCCTCCCCAGTCCAAAGCTCCTGCCTTCCAGCAGCTTCTTCAGGCCCCGCTCCTGCCACATGATGGCCTCCTCAGGCCCAGCTTACCCCTCACAACGGCCTTTCTGGGCCCAGTTTGTTCTGTTTTGGCAGCCTCTTCAGGCCCAGAAGCTCCTCAAGTCTGCCTCTCCAGATCCGGCTGCAGCCTCCCGGCATCCTGTACAGGACTAGCTCTCCCTCCCTGCTGTGTGTCTACAGGCCCAATTCCTGCCTCACAGCAACCTCTTTGGACTCAGATCCCGCCCACCTCCAGGTGGCCTTTGTAGGCCCAAAACTTCCTCAAGCCAAGCTCTCCAGGCCCAGCTCAGGCTTCACGGTGGCCTCTCCAGGAGGCTCAGCTTCTGCCCTCCGATGGAGTCTCCAGGCCCCCAAACTTCCACCAGGCGGATTCCCTAGGCCCAGCTTGGGCATTCCATTGGCCTCTGCAGACCCCCACATTGTCCTGAATTTGGTCTCTCCAGGCCCCAGTCCTGCCTCTCATCGGCCTGTAGAGGCCCATTGTCAGCCTCCCTTGTGGCAGCCTCTTCAGGACCAGCCCTTCCCCTTCCTCCTGGCTGCATGGACAGGCCCAACTCCCGCCCAAGTCCCAAACCTTTCTATAGCCAGAGCTCTGTAGGCCCACCTTTTGCCTCCTGGTGCCCTGCACAGGCCCTGCTCTGTCTGGAGAACAGCCTCTGTGGGCCCCGCAATTGCCCCCCAGGGAACTCTCCAGGCCCAGCTCTCACCCCACGCCAGATTCCCTGGGCCAGGTTCCTGCCTGCCTACCTCAAGGCAGCCTCGACAAGCCCAGCTCCTCCTGCACTGTGGCCTGTTTTGGCCCAATTCATGCTCCTCTAGGCCCAGCTTGGGCCTTCCAGTGGCCTCTGCAGGCCCCCAGATCGTCCTGAAGTTGGCCTCTACAGACCCAGCTCCGGCCTCCCTGTGACCTCTCCAGGCGCAACACGGGGCGTCAAGAGGGCCCCTCCAGGGCCAGCACCTGCCTCCCTCATGGTGGCCTCTCCAGGCCCAGCCCTTCCTCTTCCTCCAGGCTGCACCGACAGGCTCTTCCTCCCGGCCGCCTCTGCAGGCCAAATTTGCCCTCAAGTCGGCCTCTCCGGGGAGAGCTCCTGCCTCCCAGAGGCCTCTGCAGACCCAAGTCTTCCTCAACTCGGCTTCCCCGGCCCCTCTCTCCCCTCTCGGCCGCCTCTCGACGTGCGCAACATCCTCCCATTAGCCTCTCCAGGCCCAGCTCCTCCGGCCTCCTGATGGCCTCTTTAGGCCCAGCCCTCCTTGTGCCTCTCAGCAGCTTTCCCATCCCCCACTGTTGACTTTTGGCGCCCACTTCAGGTGCAGAACTTGTCCTCCAGTCAACCTCTCTGGGCCCAGCCTCCTGCCTCCCGAAGGCCGGTATACAGGCCAAGCCTCTGCCTCTCAGCAGACTCTTCCATACCCAGGCCACAGCCTCACTGCGTCCTCCCCAGTCCAAAGCTCCAGGCTTCTGGCAGCTTCGACAGGCCACTCTCCTGATTCCCAACGGCCTCCTCAGGTCCAGTTCACCACACACTACATCCTT